TAGTTGGGCCCAGTCTTTTGGGGTTACTTTATTTACAGTAGCCCATGAGGTTAGGAGCTCTCTGACAAAGGGAGAATGAAGACCATACGAGACAATGGCCTCCTTAATATTCTTTAGCTCCTTCATCTGTATAGGTTCCCAATGATAAGCAATGGGACTATTTGATTGTTTTTTCATTGCTGGTTTTTCTGTTACAGATATTGGAAAAACCATAGGGGAACGCATAGCAACCTTAGGGAAATCATTCCGGCATTTGAGAAGCTTTGGGAAACTCCTGTCCTGACCTGTTGCCTGTATTTCTGATTCTGAAGTATCAGATTGAGGGTCTTCTAAATCCTGCAGTCTATTCATCATTTTTCCTTTAGCTCTCGAAGTTCTTGGGACAAATAATTTTCTAAGGACGTCATGGAATCTTTCATTTTTTTTACATTCATCATTTACATGTGATTCCAAATTTCTAATATTCTCATCCTTAGAAAGTACTTCAATAGCATGTAAACTGCCTTCCACAAATGATATTCTATCAGTTAGTTTATCATTGCTCTCAGACATGGAACGATTCTTTTCTGTTAGCATTTCAATTTTATGTTCCAGTCTTTGTAATTTGCTAGTAAAATCATCAAACATGGAACCGTGTTTTTCGTTAAATATTTCAACATTATGTTCCAATTTTTCCATTCTATCTGTGGAACACATTTTTCCTGATAGTAATTCAATTTTGTGTTCCGTCTCTTTAAACCTGTTCGTCAGACCTACATTATCATTTTTAATATCCTGAATATTATCTACCAACCCTTTCTTACTCTCCTGCAATGAATTTTGCACTTCCTGAATCCTTTGTATTAAGATTTCAAAACTGTCCTGCGATGACTGTATGACCTGTATAAGTTTATTCCTATTTTTGAGCCATTTCATTAACAAAATTATATTGATTATGAAGCTAATAATCACCATCGTGGGTAGGAAGTACCTTTCAGGTAGGTCCTCAACCCTTTCTAAAATCCCATCCATACAAAAAACAAGAAAATTCTTAACATCCTGCATCATAGTGTTAGCTGTTGACATTGTATAAAGCAGTTACGTTTGTTACCAATGGAGTAATTCAGGCCGAAATCAACAGGCTGCCAGCGAAAGAGCACGTGGCCGGAGTCAGCAGGCCGCCAGTAAAACAGCACGTGGCCGCAAGAGAAATCTTGGAATACCGCCTAACCTTACCGGCAGGTAGAAGGTGCTGGTTCCTGGCGGCAGGAATCGTGCCTTGCTGAGCTAAGTGGTGAGGAACTTAGCGAAAGGAGAGTCCACGTGTGCCTGGTCGGGCCGAGAGAAGCCGCTTTTTCTGGGCGCCTGGATCCGGATTCCAATCCCGCTCCCGACACCAAACTGTAGGCTTCAACGGACGCTGTAACGATACGCGACACACAATTACTGAAAGTAAAGCTAAGTATTTAATGTAGAAAATTACTCACAAGATACCAAACCCAGAGGAGCAGTTTTCAGCAGCCGAACCGGAGGCCAAACTCCAGGAAAAGAGACCGAGACTTCCTGTGTGCTGTCTTTTATGCCTTCCCCCGTAAACGCCCCTAGCCATGCCCAAAAGTGGGCCTGGCTAGTGACGTAGTTCCGCCTACATACGTATACGTCTTTACGTCCAGCCGTATACGTCTTTAGTCCTGCCTAAAGTGGGTGTGGTTAGTGGTGTGGTAAACCGCCCTTTTATTACCTCATCTGTATGCGCCTCTAATAAGTCACATGTTTAATGGCGGCATCAGACTTCCTCCTACACAGGGGATATGACCTTTGGGTCAATACAAACCTGGTGGACAGATCGATCTTGTCCCTCTAATAAGCACAGGTAAGTATCTGAGTGTATAGTCATGACCCCAAACCGTGAACCAAATTCTCAACCAAAACCATTGCTAGCAGTTCAAGCATGAGTGCATGCACCCAGTTTTTGGAGCAAAGACTCCTGGTAACCTCAAGAGTTCCGTGTCTTCCCCACCTCATTTGCCTTATTGAACCTATATGTCAATTCTGGTGGAGTGAAATGCTGAGCAGGGGAAAATAATACTGAGCTAATTGTGAAGGCAAGAGTTGTTTGTTTTGACTGGAATATGATTCTTCCATGAGAAAACTCACACAACAGGAAAAAGTATATATTAGTGAAGCTGAAATGTTTGATGGCTTCTATCTTCCTACAAGTGTTTTGCCCTAAATACATGTGACAACAGACTAGGGCAGCCAGAGTGTTTCCTTTGGGCATTTCTATCAGAAATGTTTCTGAGGTCCTAGTGTGTGCCAGGCACTGCAGTGATTGTGAGGATATAAAGCCAGGAGTCCATTTGTATAAACTCATTTAAAAGGTATAGTCTAGGTTAAATTCAAGTTCTAAATGCAGGGTCCCAAGACCAAAGCATGATATGCAAAGGAAATAGGAAGCATTCATTTCTTGGGTGCAGGGAGAAGAATGGTAAGGATGATGACAGATTTTAATTAGGAGATGGGGCTTAACAAGTCTACATAAACTTGGAAGTGTTGGGCTGGGCCATATAAAGCAAACTCTGTATTCAGGGTCTGTACTATTACTCAAAAAGAATAATTCAAGTAGCTCTTAGCAGTGCCCACACTTAAGTTTGTGGCGCCAGCGCCACAAGCAACTCCAAGGTATCAGGAAAAGAGAGACAAGACGTCCATTTGTTTGTACTAAGAGAATGCATGTGCAGCCTTTATTGCCAGGAGAGTGTGTGTGTGTGTGTGTCTTCATTGCAAGTGCTAAGAGGTCTCTCCCTTGTAGGAGGGAGGAGCTTTTTATACAGGTTTACAGCACAGTAGAAAAAACCCCAGGTAGAAGAGATCGTTGTTTTCCTCCTGCTAGATGTTGATGTCAGAGGGTCAAGGCCAGGGCAGTAAGCCAGGACTAGAAAACAGGAAGCACTTGGACTGGAAAACAAGTTGCACTTGTAGTCTGACCAGCGACTCACAGAGACCCCATGGGGCTGGGGCCCAACATAAGTTCATGTGAGGATTCTAGGTATGAAAGCATGGATTTTTATGGATACCTCTAGTTAGCATATTTATGAAAAACAGGTAAAGTCATTGGCTCCAAAGTACTTTTTAATAAAAAGGAAACAAAGTGGCATAAGCTTTTAAGTTTTCTTTTTTAAAACTTAGAAAATAGTCTCCCTGTCAAGAGCATGCATGAGTAATGATCTCTGTTGTGTAAGCTTGAGTATCTGACATGTCACTATTGTATGATATTGCAAACAGCTTGTAATTGCCCTGAGAAAACTTTTGGGACTGATAGGTGCTATTCTTTTGTTTAAGATTAAAATCAGAAGGCGTGCTATGGATCCATAGAGAGTACATTAACCATAGAGTTTATTCCATGTAGGAGAGGAGAGAGAAGAGAGGAGACGAAGACGGTTAAAAAGAAGAGATAGATGAAGGGAGAGAGGGTGGAGAGCAAGATAGATAAAGAGGGAAAGAGAGGAAGGGTGTAAGAGAGTGGAGAGAGCGTAAGCGGGTCGGGGGAGGTCTATCTTTTAAAGGGTCCTTTGCGCCTGTGTGCAGACTAGCTCTCATGGAATCCTAGACTGACCAGGGTACTGCCTGAGTGTATTCTGCCAGGTAACAGGGTCACCATAATGGCTGAACCTTTTAATAGGCATGGAGAGCTATCTTCTTAATATCTTTGCAAAATTTTAGACTACACTTATCAATGGGTCACTGAAATACAGAACCATTGTCAAGTCATCCACATGAAATTATGATTATATTATTATCTAAAGAGAACCATTTCCATACAGCAGCAGATACAAATGCAGTCTGCTCTCAGTATCCATGGAGGATGGGTTCAAGATCCCTCCTCAGACATGTTTGGCAGATGCTAAGAGTAAAGTAGGAGAGTAATTGAGTTTAGAGCACATGGGAAGGCGGTCTGGCTGGGTTTCCTTGTATGCTCCACTGTGTCAAGCTAGTCCATTATTAGCTCATCACATCTTCCCTCTAATGGTCAATACCAGGTCTGACGTAAACCTACGGGAAGGGTTGAAGGTCCCTGGCTTTCTAAACCTTGGTTTATATAACACTAGGTTCTCTGGTAGAGCAGTAAGTAAACGGTGTAGGAAGCCAATTCCTATCGTCCTGTGTTTTATGGAAGGAAGAGAAAGGAGAGGAATTCTCCTTTAGACACTCATCTAACTTGCTGTTGCTTCTCTAGAGACAACTATGCACCCAAGAAAGGCAATCAAGATCTACAGTTGAATCACATTTGCTGCGATGAGTGAACATACATTTACGGCAATCTTATCCTCGATTTTTCAAGTTTTCTTTTTTTAAAGTTGAAACAAAATGTCCTTGCGATAGCTTTTAAAATTTGACCTGTGAGGAGGTTGAACATGTCAGTTTCACACATTGTCCTTCCTGGCCTGTCTCCTCCTAGCAGTCATTCATGAACTGATGTAACTGACTCCTAGAACACACTGCAGGTCCCATGTGGAAGAAGCCAGCACAACAACAACCCCATCCCAGTCTGGCCTATGGCAAACCCGCCCAACTGGACATAAAACCAGCCCCGCCTCCAGTGAGAACTTGATACAGCTGCTCAGGCCTCAATCCCCATTTATTTATCCAGTCCAGCATCTTTGTCGCAGATCCCACCCAATAGGACCTAACAGCCACTCAAGCCATGGACTTTTCTCTGGGTCCTTGAAGCCCAATTATATTAGAGCTCCGCCCATCTGCGGCAAGTCCTGCCCACAGCAAGTTCTCCAATGTGAGGCCCCGCCCATTCCGGTAGTGCTCCACCTGACCATTGGCTCCGTGCCACCCACTTAGCTGTCTGTCAATCCCTCCAAAAGAAGAGTGTCTCGCACCACCCCTCGGCTCTCGAGGCTCCACCCTCGGGGCGGGGCTGATTTCTCTCCCTGTGCGGCTGCGCGGTGACCAGGTCTCGGCAGAGCCCAGGAGCTCCGCACATGCGCACTGAGGTGTGCGCCCGGACCTGTGGAAAGACCGTTGGGACTTGGGATTCTGGCCTCTGAGGCCTGAAACCTGCGCTCAGTGCACCATCCCGGGGCCTTGTCTGCCTCTCAGTGGCTTCAGTGCTGTCTGGCTGAGCCAGCTGGAGGGGGAAAGCAATTATTCTCGTCTCAGAGGCAGCGGATAGCGACCCTGGTTTCCCTCATGGGACAACGATAAAGTCCACCCAGAAACGCTTCAGTGAAGGCAGCTCAGCTTGCTGTGACCGTAAGACCCCCTGTCGTCGGCTAAAATCAGATTAGAAACGCTAGGGCCCAGCCTCACACCCATGTCCGGAGCATGTCTCCCCACACCACGGCTTTGCAGTGATCTGACAGCCGTGTTTCCAAAATCAGCTGTTTGCCTTCAGAAACAGCGCGTGTGCTCTTTCTTGAAGACGGGGCAGTTGGCAGGGGTCTGTGGGTTCAGTCTGCCAGGCTGTGTAAAGCGGGGCGCTTCTTTTTCTCGTTTTCATCCCTTTCTTTCCCTTCTCTCTCTGTCTCTGTCTGTAAGGACTCAGGCATTCTGCTGGCCGCCCCTGTCACCTGGCAGAATGCACTCAGGCCATACCCTGGTCAGCCCAGGGTTCCAGGGAGGTGCAAGGACCCCTTAAGAGAAAGACGCCTCCGTCTTAAGGGTCTTTCTGCCTGCTCTCTCTCCTGCTCTCCTCTCTTTCCTGCTGTTCCCTTAGGGCCGACTGGACTCTCCCTGTCTCCCTGGTCTCTCCTGTCCTCTCTCTCTGCCTCTGTGTCTCTTCCTTCATTTCTCTTCTCTTCCCCTTCCATCTCTGTTCCTAGTTGGCCAACACCCACCCATCCCCTCACTCCCTTTCTCGGTGAACTCCATGTGAGCTTGTGAAGTCTGGTGGGTCATGGTGTTCACCGCCCACAGAAGGGGCTGCAGCAGAACAACGCTGTTTCTCTCCTCTCTTCACGGATTATCCTCCATTATGTGTAAGTGAACAAATGCTTCCCTTTACGTTGGTAAACACATAGGAACTATTACTTGAAGTAGCTCTGCTTCAAAACAGTACAAATGCACTTCATATTTGTATATTTCTATTCCTATAGACATGTGAGAATTTACCCCCATTTTCAAGAATTTTCACATTTAATGTCAAGTGTTGATGAAATTCATGGAACTACAAAGCACACTTAACGCAAACTCATGTCAGGTGTAGGCTGCTAATCTCCACGGCCTCATGTTTGCTTCAGCTTCACCAGCCTGCTGTTTCTTCCTAACTCCACGTCTCACCACCCTGTTCTTAGAGAATTTACATTAGAAACCTTTGACTGTTAAATTCTTCTCTCCCTTCTGCCTCTGTAAGATGTTCTCCTTCTAGCCTCTTAGCGCCTCTGAAGTACAGGACTTTATCAAGGGCCAGAGTCATGTCTGAAATACAACTCCCAGAAATGGGTGGCACCTGCAGTTCCCCGTCTCTGTAGAGTGCCTGCCATCTCTAACTGCTCCCCAGTCAGCAGAGGCAGATGCAGGTGATCCAAGGGCGTGGTACATCCTGTATCCTGGAATCTTCCAGCTCCTTTCTCTGGGTCACTGTGAGGGCTAATGACACCCAATTAAGAAACTGCCTCTTTCACGCTGGCTCGGTTGGCCATAATAGAGTGCAGTGCAAAAACAGGTGGAGTGTGTTGAGCAGTGAAGGTTCCAGGAGCCACTGTGACTAGAGCCTCCTCCGTGAGCCTGTTCCTTGGGTGTTAGTGCAGGGACAAGAAACTCTATGACATCATTACTCTTTGTTTGGGGAAGGCATTTTCATTTTAGTGTGACTTTAGTCTTACACTAGCAGTACAAAGACATTGCAGAGACCTTTCCAGATGCCATACTGGAGTGACTTCCCATTGTTAACTCAGTGTCTTGGGGTGAATATGTCACACAGAATGACTCAATCTTACACACTATTACAACATGAAATCCACATTTCACTCACATTAGACATTACATGCAGCCCCCTTTCTTTTCACAGGTGGGAGTGTGAATGCAGCCTTTACTCTCAAACTGTGTGCTTGAGTTTGCCTCATCTGTGGAAACTGCGGAAGTGAGCAGATCAGAGAGTAGTGGATGGGCCTCTCCATGGGAAAGCCACTCTGTGATGACACTGGTTCCCCTGCAAGGTGAGGATGCAAGGTCTCTCTGATGGTTCTTGGGACCACACCCAGAATTCTCCATGACACGTTGTCCCCGTGCCCTTGTCCATGCTGTGAACATACTCCACAGCTGAGTTAAAGTCAGACCTCTGGGAGTGTTATTTTAAACCACCCCTATTTGTTCTGGGACAGCATCATTCTCCTCCCTGATTCTCAGGTTTTTAGTGTACAGATAGTGCATTGTAGGCTTCCTAGCTTTCACAGTCATGTAGTCAGTTCGTTTAATAACAAGCAATGCCCAATATGAAAACTAATTATGAGTGCTTATGTTTAGTTGCTTGTATGTGGTGTGTATGCCTGTGTATGAGTATCTATCTGTCTATATGAGTTTGTGTTGATATGTGCATGGATGTGTATATTAATGTGGTTTTTGGATTTGCTTATGTGTGACTGTATGAGTTTATGTGTTCATGTGCATGAGTGTATATGTACGTATCTACCTGTATGTGTATACATGTTTGTGTGTCCATGTGGATATATGTCCATAGGCATATTTCTGTCCCTTTGTGTACTTGTGTGTAGGTGTTTGCTTTGTTTTTATATGTGTGCACTTATGTATGCTTCTTATATATGTGTGTCTGCACATGTATGTGAGTAAATCTTGACTGAAATACCACTACAAATAAAATCTGCTGAATTTTTTACTTTTCTTGTATAGTCTTGAATGTCTTGGTAGATTCAGTTTTTATTTCCTGAGGATTTTTATTGCGTTGGGTGTACTTTCTTCATAGACAATAATATCTGAGTTTTATGTTTCTTTCCCCCGTGTATATATATGTATGTATTTTTTTCTTCTTGTCCTGAATTTGTGTTTCAGCACTAACAGACAGGAGGGAGTGACAAGGGAGGACATTCTTCCCTTGCTAACACTGAAGCCTGCCACTGCCCATCGGCTTTTATAAACCAAACTCTCCTTTCAAGGAAACAGAGTTTTACTTGGAGTGCATGTTGAGTTTCATCAAGGACCTTTCTGGATCAGTTCATATGACAGTAATTTTCCTGCTGCCTTATGGCCCTGGTTCAGCCTTTGCCCCTGGCATGGCCTCGTGCTGCAGGAGGAGCTGCTTATGCTTTCTCTTTCCTCTTCCAGGACCCAGAGCATCCTCCAGATCCTCACTGTGAGAACTATCCAGGCGGGTTGAGCTTGACAGGAGGTCAGCAATATAGCAGCATTGCAGAACAGCCTCCTGCAGGTTTCTGATCCAGGTAGCTTCTACTCCAGGTAAGCAGATTGGTGTTGTATCTCTCTACCTGGAACTGCGTCTGCATTCAGAAGTAACTCGCTGTATGAGCTCAAGTCTCTCCTATCTTTGAGAAAACTCTTCACAGGACTTTCTGGTTACTAATGAAGAGAGAAAATCACTTCACAGGGTTTTCTGGTTACTAATGACTCTTCACACACCTTGAAGATGAAGCCATTCTTCCCCTTGAGGCCCCATACAATTGTTTTGCCACAGTGGGACTACAAATGCCTTCATATCATGGGTTCACAATATGTTGTTGCCAGAAATAAAATAGGAGATACACCTTTCACATAGAAACATGAAAATGACTGGATTTAAAAAAACATACCTATGGCTGATATTGAAAATATACAATTCATTAAATATCTTTTGTGGTAAATATATAAATTGAGAACAAAGTTAGGAAAACCTGGCACTTCCATAGCACAAACCCCATACCAAGTAAACTCAAAACAAAATGCATTTCGCTTCTTTCATTTTTATTAATCTCTATTTAAATTAAAAAGAATCTTACTTCACATACTAATCCTACTTCCCTCTCCCTCCTGTCCTCCATGTTCCCCACCGACCCCTGTCCCAACCCCCATTCACTCCTCAGGAAGGGTGGGTCCTCCTATGGGGATCATCAAAGTCTACCACACCATTTGGTGCAGGACTGAGGCCCTCCCACCTGTATCTAGGCTGGGAGAGTATCCCACCTTAGGGAATGGGTCTCCAAAGTCATTTGTGCACTAGGGATTAATACTGGTTCCACTTCGAGAGGCCCTATAGACTGCCCAGGCCCTCTACTGACACCAATGTTCAGGAGACTTATTTCATTCTATGCTGGTTCCCCAGTTGTCAAAATGGGGTCCATGAGCTCCCACTTGCTCAGATCAGCTGTTTTGTGGGTTTCCTCAGAATGGTCTTGAAAACCTTTGCTCATCACTTCTCCCTGTCTACACCAGGATTCCAGGAGTTCGGCTCAGTGTTTAGCTGTGAGTCTCTGCTTCTGCTTCCATCAGTTGCTGGATGAAGACTCTAGGATGGCATTTAAGGTAGTCATCAATCTCATCATAGGGGAAGGGCATTTAAGGTAGCCTCACCACTATTGCTTAGATTCTTAGTTGGGGTCATCCTTGTGGATTTCCAGGAATTTCCCTAGTGCCACATTTCTCTTTATCAGGAAGGTCGAGTTGGGGGAAGAACAGATACCTTTCACTTTCATTTTTGTGTAGAACAAATGCTTTATAGTAAAATGTGTCACTAACGAATAGGGGACCACTGATCTAACTGGGAAAAAGCAATGACTTGAAGCCAGTTCTATAGAAGTCTGTGCAGCCTGATAAGAAAGAAGAGACAAGCAGAGTCAGATGAATCCCAGCATCTCCCGTGGTTGGTGCATTGCAGGGACTTGTGGGAAGAGCAGTGTAAAGACCAAGTGCAGGTTTCCAGCACTTGGGCCTTTATCAGGCCCTGTGTGTGAGTGCGGTGCACTGACCAAATGTTCTGTTGTCACTGGTAGAATTTAGTCTCAGGTGTTTACAGTGAACTCAATTCCTGTGTAGTCACTTCTCTGCATACCTGGAATAAAATGCATAGCTGTGTTCTCCTCAGTGGGAAAGGACTATGCTGAAGTTAATGTCCACAGAGCCTGTGGAGTCTGGTGTCCTTTCTTACTGCTATAGATAGTGCCAGTTCCTGTGTTATGCACCCTCCACTCTCATTGGCTATAGATAGTGCCAGTTCCTGTGTTAAGCACCCTCTACTCTCATTGGCTATAGATAGTGCCAGTTCCTGTGTTAAGCACCCTCTACTCTCATTGGCTATAGATAGTGCCAATTCCTGTGTTAAGCACCCTCTACTCTCATTGGCTATAGATAGTGCCAGTTCCTGTGTTAAGCATCCTCTACTCTCATTGGCTATAGATAGTACCAATTCCTGTGTTAAGCACCCTCCACTCTCATTGGCTATAGATAGTGCCAGTTCCTGTGTTAAGCACCCTCCATGCTCATTGGCTTGTCCCTGTGCATTGACATTTTCCATCTGTGACTGCTCACTCTAGAAGGTAGCCTTCCTGCATATCCAGTCTTTTCTCATGGATTGGTAGCTATTGCCTAGTAGTTAATTAACTTTACCATAAAATACTTCTCTCAGTGAATTTTAAAAAAAGACTACATTTTCATATTCTTATTTTTTTGTGTGTACATATGAGTGCATACAAATGTACATATGAGTGCAGGTGTGAATGTCAGAGGACAAGCATCAGGAGACTGTTGTGTCCTTCCCCACATGGGATGTGTGGATGGAGCGCAGGTGTCAGGCTTGGTTGCAGGCACTTCATCCACTGAGCTATCTCACAACCTTCTCTCTAAGAACTCGTGCTTATTCATTTACAGAATAAAATTCACTTGTAAATTCTTATACATGTAGACTGCTTACTGTTCTCATTTTCTATTCTTCAGTTCAGTTAAACAACTTCCTTATACTCCACTGAATGGACTTACTGCTATCCAAAAAGCAATTGATGTTAGTCACTGAAGGTATGTTATGTTGTGTGAATAGTTACTCTCTGAAATTTCAGTGCTGGAGCACAAAGCAGTACCAAGCTTTGCTACCTCAAAGGTGATTCTGGATCAAGAGCTGTTGGTCTCCTGGAGCAATCTATCCCACACAGCTGGTGGCTAATGTTGCAATGAACTAGAAGCTACATTACATAGTCTGTTGCAGTGAGTGACAGCCTGCACTGTGTTGCACTCTGTAAAGTTAGAGCACAGCACTGGAAGTGGCTGTATCTGAAATGGTTTGTCCCACACTAAGCTTCTCTATGCACAACTCATCCTTAGCCTCTCGACTCTGCATCCTCACTAACTCTAGCTCACCTCTTCCTCAAACATGGATGTAGGCTCTAAGCTTATACTTCTGTCTTACTGGTCATGGTCAAGGTTTGCACTTGGACTTTTCTTAGAAGGAAACAACCCAGGATGATGAAGTTAACCTTTGACTTAATAGTTGGAGGGGCCCAATCAGATACCCCACTAGATACTCCACCATCTACTGCATAGATACTCATGGAAGCATTTGAAACTCGAAGTATCCAGTTACTCTGATAACCAAGTTCCAACCATGGAATTAATTTTGCAACATAATGCAATTCAGTAAATGAGAAATAAGGTTTTTTTGTAGACATAAAATGGTTTTGATGGGACAGTTAAACACCTAAGAAAAGGACTATATCAACTGGGATTTAAACCTAGGCACAGATTTATTAACTAAGCTGTTTTGGAATGCAAGATTATTATGACTGAATGGAAACTAAGTAATTAAAAAAGAAGTAGGCCTGAATCTAATTATGTCAATGTTATGTTAATTATGCAAACGGCAGCCTAAATTCTCCATATATTTTTTGCCTCCCTTTGACTACAGCACTACTAGTTTCCAGGAAATAGGGTAAAACTGTAGTTTTAAAAAGCAGGTTGAAGAGGGGTGGTGATGAAGGCAGAGCCAAGAAGCGAGATGGCTTCTGCAGCAGGCTGGAGGCAGAGGGCTCGAGGCAGAGACTGGGGTGGTCTCAACACTGCCCTGCTGCGAGGAGTCTGTAGAGACTGAAAAGTGCACAGATTAACTAAGACAAGGCAGGGGATGGGAAGATGCTTTTGACAAGTAGTCAAGAAGCTGGAAAGAAAGGTGGTAGAGCAGAGCTGAGCATGTGCACACATAGGAATGTATGCAGTGGAGAATGGCAAATCTAGATTTGCAGCAGAGAAGGGTATGGGATCAATATGGGAGAGCATGGCACAGAGGACAAAGAACATGGAGTGACTGAATACCAGCAAGGAGCAAGTGTCTGTGATGCTGTCCCAAGGCTGCAAGCACAAAGGTCACCACAGGGCTCAAGACCAGGAGGTTTGTGACATATGGCCAGCCTACACTATGCAACCAGCATGGCTTCAACCTGTGCTGCTTGCCCTGCTGGGAGGAAGGGAACTAGAGCTGAGGAGGCAGCACCCTCAGGTTCCAAACCCAACAGCTGTGCTCACTGAGCCCTGGGGTGACTGGCATCAAGAACAGGGTGATAGATGGTGGCATGGGGCTTGAGAAAATCCTTCCCCCATGCCCTACCTAGCTGCAAGATCACCTGACTCTAGGCAATAGCAGGATATCCAGACAAGTCTCAGTGATTGTCCAGTATTTATAGTGCTTCAGAAACCAGAAACCTTGAACCACCCAATGGCTGGCTGTAATGAATATGTATGAGTATTTGCATGTAAAGCTGAGAGCTCTTTCCAAAGAGTAGTTTGCAATGCCAAATATGTGATGGAGTGGTGGGAAAGATGGGGCAACCGAACTCTACATGCACAGTGCAGAGGTAGAACTGGAGACGGGATGGTGGTGACTGATGTGAGAGGACTCTTCAGGTTGTGCTGGGCAGGGAGAGCATGCCACAGTGGAGCAGGACCAGCAAGGTGGTGTGGAGCAGCCTGGAGCTTGTGTAGACTCTGTCCACAAACATGCAGCTCAACTGCATCATCCTCCTGATGCTGAGCAAAGACAGGAGCTTCCAGATGGAGAACAGTTCACTTTCTTAGACTCTAAAGGTCTGTGTTGCCTGCAGAGACACTGTTCTTATCCCTTATTCATCCTAAAACTGTACTGTATCCTTGGTCTTTGCTGCCACCTCAGGTAGTGTTGTTGCCTGAGGTCCATATGGAGGTCCATGTTCTGAGATGCCACCAGAAACCACTTGGAAATCCATGGTCTGTGCTGTCATTGACTAGAAGGACAAGGAAACGTCTGCAGTGGTATTGATGACTGCAGACACACAGATGAGAATGGCAGACATAGAAGGCTTCTGTGACAACTTATTTCTCCCACTCTCTACAAGAAGCAGGATAGACAGGAAGCCCTTGAAGAAAACTCTTAAAATTGTGATGGGGATCTTGAAGTGTAGCTCTTCACAGCTGATGGGTTCCGGCAGTGGTGACGGTGGGGAA